TTCTGAATAGTTCTTCTATGTTCTTGGAATCATGGAATTGATTTGGACTTTTAGCCGTAGGGAAAAACGCCGGAATTTTTATTTATTAAAAGTTTAGCATTATTTCTGCAAATCTGTACTGCTTAGAGAATGGGTCTTGTTTTGTTAGGCATAAATATGAATTAAATGCAAACTGAGCTGAACTTGACAAGAGTGAAAAGCTTTTCCAGATCATTTATCTCATGGCATACCGCAAATTTTGCTTAGTACTATTGCGCTCGCTAGTTATGGCAAAGCTCAAATTTGAAATTAAGATCAAAGTTTACAGAAAATTGAAAATTAGTAGATGATTTGGTTTAAAGTACAATCTGACGTCGTAAGATTTTGGTTTTACGGATCTCACATTTCTGGAGTTAGATTATCCGGGCAAAAAGACAGAAAAAATGCGTAGCATGAGGTCCAGAAAGATAAATCAATTAAGTTTCCTTTGTTTTGCAAAAGTATTATTGGCCGCTGTGTAAAGCAGTAGTGTCGTAAATGAAGAGATTTTTTTTCAAGGCACGTGAAGGATTTGCTAAGTGCTACAGCAGATGCAAATTGCTGAGGGACTGACCGATCTGACTGCCAAAATGAAAATAAATCTCAATATCCAGGCAGGTGCTTGCTGTTGCGTTAATAAAGAAAGCGAAGAATTAAGAATTCAGTGCGTGAATCGAGGCTTCATACAAAAAAATTCAAGAAAATCCAATTAAAAGAATAATGTTAAAGAGTAAAGTGACTAAATCATTGGTGTGGTCACCACTTTTTCGATAAAATAAGGGCTATTTTAAATAACAAGTGTCGTTTTTAGAAATTTTTTGAAGGGAAAAATTCCCCTTCCCAGAAAAAATTCCAGAAAGTTGTGCTCACTACGCTCCAGCAGCATTTAGAATTCGCTAAATGCTTGCCGAGTTTTTTTGTCTGGAGAATCGATGAGCTAGCTGGTTAGGAGACGAAGTAAAACATCAGGATCACTAGCAGGCTGACGACAAGTAACATAGCACTGGTCAAAACAAATGAAAAAATTGCCGGCTGCAGAGCTGAAGATCCAGACTAAAAAATTAACAAGTATTCCAAGTAATAAGATGGAACAAAATTTTTAAAACGCTGTTGAATTTTTGTATAAAAACTGAAAACTCAAAATACAGAGAGACGGACAGTGTGCCTGTGCGGAACATTGGGATGTCGGTGCATTTTATTGACACAGCGGACAGTGAGGTATCAAACACTTCTGGAAGGAAATACTTCGGGGAGCAGTTTGGAGAGTAGTTGCGTGAGTTAAATCTCTGTTTGTTCCTTCATTTCTTACTGTTTCCAGTAATATATTTTTGCAACGCACTGCTGTCGAAGTGTTTCGTTTTGCGAAATTTCAAATCAGCTTTTATGTACCGCAACCAAGTACACATTTAAATAATACTGATAAACAGTAACTGATACAAAATTAAACTTAGCTAGTGTACTCACAGGCGCAAATTATCGTAAATTTTACATAAAAGAAAATGGGAAATTTCCGATGCACAGTCATTCGTTGAGAATGACCTGGTCAAAGAATGCACAGGCAAGAATTCAGTGTCGAAGTTTGCATGTTTGCCGATTGAAATACCCAGGCAAACGCACAGAAACACACACATACATACAAGTAAACATGCAAACGCCATGGTCGTCACAATATGCGCTTTTGCATTTGCATACGTATAAAAAAATAAAAAATACAAATCCACTGAAACAAAAACGACAAACACAAACGCATAAAGATACAACATACACACACACACACACACACACACACATGCATACTCCCACAATCATATATGAACAAAATACAACACATACAATCATACACATACAAGCACACACAAATACAAGACACACACACACAAGTGCACACAACCATATAAGCACAAATACACACAACTACACGACCAGAAACTAATTGCACTGGACATATTTTGAAAAGTGAATTTCTTCTGGTCTTTCTCTTCCCAAAGGCACATTCGAAAACATCCTTTACCCGGTAAATAACCTTACAATAATAGTTCTAATAATAAAACAAGCACAAATTTGCAGTGCTATAAATCAACTATACA